GATGATAAAAACTGCTGTGAAAGGTTAAATTCCCATGATTCTCTGTAGCTGTTTAATGGATTTCTATGATATAAACAAACCTTTGGCTTTGCCTGCTGGGCAGATGACCCCCAACCAAATGAGTTTAGACAAGACTTCCTAACAAGAAATGTTCCTTTCTTCCCAGTACTCCACAAAGACTCTTGAATCTGCAATAGCCCACACCTCCCCCAAACAGACAGGTGGTATTCATGGACTATGTACACAAGCCCACCTGTGAGAGAAGCAGACCATGCAGCATTGTGTATGGAAATGCATGTGTGCTTGTGTTTTTATGGCTCAACAATCTGTTGATTTAACAGGTATGTCCTGAGGCGACTCTGTAGTAGGTGTCAGAAATACAAGGGCATGTTTAAATAAAAATAATTGTTACAGTGAAAGGTAAGAGATTGCCATTAGTCCCCTCAAAGTCCTCCCTGCCTTCAAACACACTTATCCCATTGTTCTTGCCACTTTCAGTAGCAGTTCTGGAAGTGCTCTTTTGTGAGTGTCTTTACATGGTATCACAAAAAATACAGTGACTGCTGCTGCCAACTGCCGTACAGCAGAAAGGCAGGCTCATAAAAACATTACAGCATGTCCTCACCCACCTTATTCACCACATCTGGCACTGTGACTCCTATCTCTTCCTCAAAGTCAAAATGACCATGGAAGGGAAACATTTTGAATCAATTCAGGACACTGAAGCAGCCAGGACAGAGGAACTAAAGATACTCAGGAAAGAGCATTTCCAGAACTGCTTCAGAAAGAGGCAAGAACAATAAGATCAGTGTGTTTGAAGGAAGAGGGAGGATTTTGGGGTAGGATTAATGGCAATGTGTCTTTTACTGTAATGAATGTTTAAAATTTGAACATTTCCTGTACTTTTGATCTCACCTGGAGCAATGGAGAAAAGGTACAGCTTTTGTACTTGAGATGCTCATGTTTCAGGGGCAAGTGTTTGCCATGATGAGGTCAGCAGTCAAGTAGGGACCCATAAAGGAGAATCATGGAGAAGGCCATGTCCAGAACTCTGGAGAAATCAAGGGAAGCAATGTGAGCTGAAACACAGTCTCTGTGGACAGCTTGTTTCTTCATTTGAAAAATAGGATTAACAATAGAGCTTGCCTGCTATCCACCAGGAAATGTAGCAATGTATGTAATGCACCAGTGCTTGCCCAGCTCAAGGTAACATCTCTAAGTTTAGGGTAGATTGGTCGTCAGGTGAACACCTCCTACTGGCCAAATACGGGATCAGCCATTGTACAGAAGTAGAGCGCAAAAACAGAGCCATGCACAGACACAGTGAAGACCAAGACTGGGAGATGAACCTGTGCAGCAAAGGAAAAATCATGGGGAGACAGCACCAAGGGCAGTGAAACATCCTTAACTTGGAGAGGGCTTGACAACTACAATACCCAGCACCCCTGGGGCCTGACAGGTCCGTTGGCATCTTCTGTGTGCTTTCAGAGAAATCTTTTGAGAATGATAACCACTTCCATTGCCCCCTCCCCAGTCTAATGATGGTAGGTTACCAAATAAAGAAAATCCACTTTACTGACATTCACTGTAGAGTGCATTTGCCAGGAAAGCAGGCTCACAGAACAGTCACTGTTGTTCTGTTGACAGGCACACACAATATATTCCAAAAACCACAGGGAGACAACATCTGAGTCTCTCCAGCAGGCCGTGGTGGCTTGGAACTTTCTGAGGTGATGCCAGTGTTCTGCTTCTGCTCTGTCCATTGTGGCAGCCATGGGTTTCATGGAGCTAAGCGAGCGCTTGAGATGTGGTCAATTTGATGGAGGAAATGAATTTTTACCTTACTTTCATTTAAATTTAACTTACATTGCAACAGCCATGAGTGCCCAGTGGCTTCCACTAGGGACAAGGCAGACTCAAGGGCTCTGATAACATGCACTTTCTTGAATTTGCTCTACAAATTGGCCCAGCCACTTCCTAGTCGCCCAGACTGCAGGGCATGGTGTCCAAGCCTCAGGTCTCTGCTCCTTCCCTATTCCTCTCCCTGCATCCTAGGGCTCCATAGATGTGCAAGCCCTCCCCAGATATTCAGCCGGAAGGCTTGGTAACACCAATGTGGTGATCGCTTTGGCTTCCGATGATTTTATTGGCTCCTCCAACTTTGCAAAGCATCCCATCTTGGGGATCAGAGGGGAGGCTGTGGGGATCTGCACATGCTCCAGGCTGTTGTGGGCCCGCTGGCCTGAGCATGCAGCAGTGGTCCCATCACAATGCCCTGCTTTTCCCTCCTGAAGGGACTGGAGACACAGTACTGGCTGGGCCTGTGTGATCTATTCATTTCCTTCCAAGCCAGGCTCTGTAAGCTCATTCAGAGTTTGGGGGAAGGAAGCCAGGGAGGGAAGCAAACACAGGGCCAGAAAACAAACAGCGCCAGGCAGCTTGCTGTTTGGGTGGGGGCGTGGGGGGTGCGGCCTGGGAGAGGTCTGTCTGCTGGGGAAGAAGGCTCAGAAGAGGGTCTGGCTGGAGAAGAAGTCTGGGCTCCCCTTGCTGCTTCTCCCATTCCCTCTGGACACCCTGCCCTGGCCTTAGCTCCTGCAGCCCCGGCCTCCGAAGGCCCTTATCACTCTCCCTTCAGCTGGCTCCTTGGGAAAAGAAGCAATTGGTGAGGGAAGCCAGAGAAGCAGCAGGCAAAGGCAAAGCTGGCAGCACAGAGCCAAGTCCCTGGAATTTCCTTCTGTCCTCTGCGCCCCTTTTCCTGTCGCAGCCAGGGCACACGGGCTCCCCTAGTCTCAAGGAAGATAACCAGTCAGCTGAGCCACCACCTCTGTCCAGCTGCAGACCTAAAAGGGTCCAGGTGTTTGGCTCCAGCAGGTGATTTGCATGTAATTTGCATACATCTGCATACCCCCACTCCAGAGGCCCTCAGTCAAAGGATGTGAAATGAAATAAAATAAATAAATTAGTGCAGCCTAGCACATCCTGATACGCAGGATCTGACATCCATAGAGATGTAACTGATTCTTCAAGTAATCAGTGACACTGCAGGTTGGGACAGGGCCACAGAGGTGGTGAGGGGAAGAAGGGGGCTCAGGACATGGGTGGAGAAGGACCAGGAAAGTCCGTCCGTCCAGGGCTCAGTGACCTCCACCGTCCCAGCCCTCACCCCATCTTCATGAACACAATGGAGCCACATGGATGCCTCCTCTTAGTTCCCTGCCCAGGACCCAGCTTGGTCCTGGCCTTGGCCCTCCCTGGCAGTTGCCTCTGCAGGGACATTTTCATCACCTCAAGGGTGGCAGCAACAGTCGATTTCAAACCAGAGTGAGAATAGCTGCTTCTAGGCCACTGGTATTTCCACGTCCATCTTAACCCGGTGAACTGTTCTCACCGTGCCCATGTTTCTGTCTTACCACCCCGCCCTCTCACCCCATCTGAAGATGGTGGAGGGAGGGACGTGTCCCCAGCATCAGCACTGAGCTGGAATTCATTTATTCCCATCTTTCTGCCAGGTGCTAATGAGATGCTCACAGCCTGTGTCAGCCCAGCAGCTCCCACATCCTGTAAATGCGCCTCTCAGGGATGCACTTCATGGCCCTGCCTCACACACACTCTGACTTCCTCTAGGCCCAGGACACCATCCTCCTGTAAGAGAGGCCCTCAGGCTGCTGAGTGTCAGGTTCACACCTGTGGAGCTCGGGTCCAGGACAAGGGGAGCTGATTCTAAGCAAGATGAGCTACAGTGCTGGGATGGGGGCTGGGTTCAAAGGTGCACAGATCCCAGCCAACCAAATAGCTCTAATCAGTCAATGATGGATCAATGACTGAAATACAGGAAAGGACAGGAGGACAGGTGATTCCAACAACTCTGCAATGAGAGCGAGGAGGAGGACAGCAGTTCCGAGCCGAGGCTGTGAGCCCTAGGACATCCTCTGACATCTGGTCCCCTGTGTGTGGGACCAGAGGAAGCCCCAGGGAGCAGAGAGGAGCTCACTCCACATTCAAGATCACCAAACTGTACCCAATGTCCGCCCTCCCCTTGCTCCTCACTCCAAGCATCTCCACCTGACTGGCTGCCCACCCACTTCATGTGAAGACAGGGCAACCAGCCTGCAAAGATTACAGTAGTATGGTTTTAGATCAGGGGTTTGCAACGTACAGCTCATGAACCAAGTCAGCCAACATCCTGTTTTTGTACAGCCTGCGAGCTCAGAACAATTTCTGCCTTGTAGAAAAAAATAAGGAGAAGAATATTTTGCGACACATGAAAATTACATAGAATTCAAATTTTGGTGTCCGTGCATAGCATTTTATGAGCACACAGCCGTGCCCTTCCATTCACACACTGTCAGGAGCATCTTCACAACACAATGGCAGACCGGAGAAGTTGCAGCAAAGACCACACGGTCAGCAGAGAAGAAAATATTTACTGTCTGGGGCTTCAACAAAAAAAGCCATGGCCTGGGGCTTCAATGAAAAAATCCTTGCCCGCGCCTGGCTTAAACCATGGAAAGGGAATTCTTTGCAGCACCTCGTCTGTCCACAAGTAGCACACCTTGCAGAAAAGTGTCAGTGCTGCCGGACCTCTGAGCTCAGCACCAAGTCCTCTGTGGCAAAGGGAACACAGGCTTGGATGCCTGTCCTGACCCATGAAGATTCCGCCATGGCTGGAAATGCCCCATAAGCCCAAGACCCAGAGCAGTCCTTCCCGTGACTGACACCTGGCCCTGGACAAGCGGACACCTGCTCATCTCCAACGCTTCCCTTCCCAGACCTGGACATAGATATGGAGCCAAATCAGACAAGATGAGTCCTGGGGGCAGAGGGGAAGCTGGGCAAGGTGATCAGTCTTTTGGGAGGGCATCTGCACAGGATGAGGACCTGGCAGAGGGCACAGGACTGCTTGGGTCTGCAGCGGGGCTGAGGACATAGCCAGGGTGCCTGGGGGCTCTGGGAACCCTACTGGCAGCCCCAGCATGGGGGGAACAGCAGTGATGACTTACCCGGTACCACACAATCTCACGCATGCGACCATCTGTCTTGAAGTTACACTTTAAGGTCACGGCATCCCCAGCCACCACTGGGGGCAGAGGCTCAATGTTGACAGTCAAGTAGCCTGTGGAGGAAAGGAGAGAGGGACTGTGAGAGCCGAAGCTGACCAGGTAGGCAGGGAGAGAGGGGAATGGAGGAGAAAAGGCTGCCACACCCCTGCAGGGGGCGCTGTTCTCCTGTGACAGGTGCTGGGGAGTGTGGAGCTGCTCGTGTTCTCAGTTGCTGGCATCTCCTGATCTGTCACCTCCCAGCTCCCAAACCAAAAGCACTTTTTCTGGGATGAATTTCCAACTGAAGGTAGCACCTGCTGGCATCTCCAGGAAGGGTCAGCGTAGGTCTACAAGACACCCAGAGACAGGGCTCTGGGCCAATACTGCATCTCCGCCCCGTTCAGAGTAGTGATGTGTGTGACGAGACTGCTAGGTCCCACAGGAAATGCAAATACTGCTGTGCATTCAGCCCTGCCTTTCCAAACCTAGTTGTACCAGAGACCCTTTCTCCCACCACTGCTCTCTGCAGCCAGGGGCCCTGAGTTCACAGTGGGACCTGGTGCACCTGTCCCCTCCAGTCTCAGCTCCGTAACCACTCCCCTGGACAAACTCCCGGAAGAGAGTCTTAGGAGGCTGCTCAACACCACAGTTCCCATCACACATACCTTGTCCCTGGGGAGAGCCCAGTCCAACCCTTGGCTGTGGGGGGTTGGGGGATGGGTTTTCAGGCTGACCACGCAGAAAAGAGGCTCCCATCTTTGCAGGTGCTATACAAAGCTTCTTGTCCACTACAAGCCTGTGGGAAAGCTGCCCAGCTCTTGGAAACAGGGCTGGGATTCTTGCCCTGGTAGCCACGCCTTGGGGGCACTACTGCCTCTACACCAAAGCCCATCCTGGTGAGACCTGTGACCCACTCCTCTCTCCCCTAGAAGGCTGGGTACACTCTGACTCAAGGAACCTGGTGCTGATCATCTGGGCTCATCCAATCGGCTTCCCAATGGCTGATGTGATGTCTGACCATTGATCAAATGGATCAATCCAGTCCAATCATCTTAATGAGAAAACTAGCCAGGATGGGCTCGGGGATTTCAATTGTGCAGGCAGCCTGAGTGGATCGAGCCCAGGGGCCTGACCCCTGCCTGGAACTTAATGGGTACAATGCTCCAGGAACAAAACCAAGAATCGATCTGTGGAGGATCAATTTGGAAGTGGAAGTGAGATTGAAACTGTGCAGGGCAAGGCTTCAGGACCAGGCTCCAGGATGAAGGGCTCAGGCACAGGGTTCACCCCCAGAGCAGTGTGGAACTTAGGCTGAAGTCAAGTCCCTCGATCTTGAACTTAGGCTGAGGTCAAGTTCACAGGGAGCCCCACAGCCCATGTGGTCCAAGAAGCAGTGAACCAGCTGCCTGGCAGAACCAATCCTCTTCCTCTTCCTTTCTGCATTCCCTCAACCCATTGGCTCCCCTCTGCTCTGAGCAAGCTGCAAGCCGTGGGCTAGGATCTGGGAAACAGCAATGAGAGAAGCCACTGAGTGGTCCTCCAGGATACCCAGTGGGGAAGACAGTGACATCAGACCGTGATCACCACTCAGGGCCATGCAGAGGCAGGAGGAAGGTGAGGGCTAGAGTAGAGATAGGGAAGCCTGGTCCAGCCGGATGATCCAGGACCCCAGGGTGACCAACAAGGAGGCACCCTCTGGAGGAGGGACACGCCGGGGCAAGTCAGCCGAGTGTGACATAGTAAGGCTGGTTCACATGTCCAGAGCCCCTGCTCTGCCAGGCCCTGAGTAAGTGCCTCATATGAATTCCTTTACTCAACTGCCACCATCCTAGGAGAGAGGAACATTATGATTCCCTTTCTGCAGGGAAACAGAGAGGAGAAGAAATTGCCAAGGTCACACAGCTGTAAATTGCAGAGCTGGGATTCAAACCCAGCTCTTCCAGCCCCATGATAAGCCCTGAGCTGTCAGCCTCTCCAGGGATGGAAGAGGTGAGAGAAAGTGCAGCCTGTCCACTTTCCACCAGCCCTGCCTGGAGAGGTCCAGTGGGGGGTGCTGGGGGACTATGACCACCTGACTCGCCTTTGGTGGCATGGGGGCTCTGCCCTTCCCATTCACTCACCTGTGATAATCCAGGTAACCAGGCAAGAGTGAGCATCACTATCAGTCCTGGTGCTGATGGGTTCAGGACAAGACAGCTCCCTTCCACCAGAAAGAGGCAAAAAGACACATCCTGAGATGCAGAAGCCAGCAGGGGAGGACAGGTAGTCTCAGTGGCCACCAAGACAGGAGGGAGTCACAGTGTGAGGGGTACAAGGGGTGGCTGAAGCTCTGGCAACTGAGTGACAGCGACAGGGGTACTGGCAGGTAGAGCAGATGTCCAAAGCCAATTTGGCACGCCAGTGGGAAGCAGACACCTGTCCATAGGCAGGTGTGGCCTGGGCACCTGGGCAGCCGTGAGTTAGAAGCTGGGCGCAGGAGTGAGCTGACTGGGCAGGTTAAGACAAGACCACTTTTCCCAGAGCGTGCAGAACATGGGGAGAGACTGAGCGACATTTCAGGCAACATGAATTTTATTGTTAACTAACTTTGAGAAAAACAAAATTAAACAAAAGGAAAGGTATCCTCCTGTCATTCCTCAGTTCACAAAGAGCGGTTTATCAACTCTACCCGGAACCAGACATGTTCTCAACTGGGGACACAACTCCACAATGTTCTAGCAGTGGGGACCATCATCAAGTTACTCATGTAAAATATATCAGTGGCCATATATGTAGTGAGGAAAAATAGACCAGGGGAAAGCCACAAAGAGCAACGTGGGAGGGGCTGCTCTAGATGGGGAAGTCCCTACCTCCCCACCAGGCCTCTCTGAGTAAAGGAAGGTGTGATCCATGTAGATACCTAGGGGAGAGCATTCCAGACACAACACCACAAATCCAAAGCCCCTGAGGCTGAGGGGTGCTCTGACACTCCAGGTCACGGTCATAGTAAGAAACTTTTCTCAACATTTAACATTTTCAGACTCTGTAGCTCATCTTCAGTAAGCATCAGGCAGGATTAAAGCAGGTTGAGGCAAGTGAGGAGCCTGGGGTGCAAATGGACAGGATGTACTCACTCCTAGCACAGCACTCCAGCAGGGAACAGCTGCCCCTGCACTGCACCCTGGGCTTCTCAAGTCCTGGGGAGCAGAGGCTGGGAGTCATCTCTGTGAGCTGAGGCAGCTCCGGCCATGCCTCCTGTTCCAGGCAAGCCTCTGCTTGGAGCCACAGAGGTCAGGGGACAGGAGAAACGCTGGCAGCTGGGCACTCCCACCCCAGCCCCATGCGGTGCCCACGGCATGGGGTACAAGGCTGCAGGGAGGTAGGAGCCTCACCTCTGAAGGCAGACTCCTTCCCTGGCCACAGCATGTTCTCATTTCCCCAGCATGCACACTCTTGCTTTTCTTCCTTGTTCTTTTCTTTTCTTTTTGTTTCCTTCCCTTCTTTCTTTCCCTCCCTCCCAGCACTTTGCTCTCAGTCTGTCCTCTGGCTGCTGCAGCCACCTGTGCTTCTGTGCAAAGCCGTGATGGCTGGCCTGTCATATGAGTGTGGCTGTCGGTCTGCCCATCTGTCTCTCCTTCTGGATCATGAGCTCCATCACTAGCCACAGAGCATCAAAGTCAGAGGATGACAAGAGCTACTATCGCAACTTTTTCGGGTGCCGGCCCTGTGGGTCCTAGGCACAAGCCTCTGTCACCAGCAGGCTCTGCTCTGCAGATCTGGAAGCACCTGGCTGCACACCACACTGATGGAAGTGGCCAAGCTGAATTCTACCCCGTCTGTCCTATTCTGAGGCCGATATCATCCTGACACCTCTTGCTGTCACCCAGAGATGAGTCACATGACTTACAGAGGTCACTTGGGAATTCTGGGAGGTAGCCCCCCATCTGCAGTTCCATCGGTTGACACCATCTTTGACATAGGCCTGGCTCTCAGGTGGGGCAGGACAGCACTGTGGGGCCTGGGCCAGGCCTGGTGGAAGGAGAGACCCCAAAGTACACAGTGAATGCTGGGTCTGCCGATGGACAGGAGAAGGGGGCCTGAGGCCAGGGTCTAACTCCGTTGTACCTAGTCCCTTCCTATTCAAGGTCAGGACAGGCAGGGGGCCATGTGTAGGCTCTGAGCTCAGGTGTGGAGGGAGGGAGGCGGAGACTTCTGACAGGTGTGTGGGGCTGGGCTTAGGATGGCGCCCGTCAACACTTGAGCCCAGGTGAGAAACCACCTTCCTGGACAGGCACACATAGGAGACGGACAGCAGGCATTCACAGCCAAGGTATTTCCCAAAAGAAAGACACTGGAAAGGTTCTCTTCTAGGTCTGACTAACATTCCTCCAGCTCTCATTTCACAAAATTTCATCATTTCCCAGAAAACTGCAAAGGTTCGTTTTCTGAAAATCCCCTCTCCTGCTTTCCTGGCTCTTCCCTCCACAGGTGCCCCCTTTCCGAACTTGAGGTCAGTCGTTGCCTCAGGCTTCTCATTCTGCCACCCAGTCGTCAGCTGGCTGAATTACAGAACCTCTGTGGGACTCGGCTTCCTCCTGCACAGTGGGGCTGCAGGAACAATCAGGTTCCAAGACCCAAAGCGTGGCCCAGGGCCTTGCTCCCCTGACCCCACCCCTGACTTCCACTCCCCTCAGTGTTCCACCATCCAGCCCAGGAAGGATGGTCCTAGGGTAGCAGGCTGACACCTGGGCAGGTGGGTGGATGGGAGGATGTGGAACAGAGCAGCTCAGCCTCTGTCCTGAGGGGCTCAAAGCTGGAGGCCCACAAGGAATCCTCCCCGTGAGGCACAGGGCATAAACCTAGAGGGGGCTGGTTGTGGGAAGTCTGGGAGGCTGAAACAGGAAGACCACATGTTTGAGACCAACCTCGATAACTTAATGACTTAGAAAGACACGGTTTTCAAAAAAAAGGTTGGGGGGTGGGGTGGGTGATGTAGCTCAGTGTGAAGGTCCTGCATCCAATCCCCAATACAAAAACAAACAAAAAACCCAAGTCCAACGAGGCCTCAGCCACCAGGGTCTCCAGCAAGGGGGGT